AGCCGATAAAGCAACTGTTCATTTCACTCAGCTTCTTGACAGAAACCCGAGTAAGTTCGCAGTAATGGTATTAACCACTGCAAAGGCAGTAGTGTGCAAGTGCTAGGTAACATTCTACAAAGTTTTGAAAAAATGATTTGGAAAGCGCAGAACTGGAGCCACTGATAGCAGCAAAGAGCAAATGTAATTTTTTTACGAAACTATCCAGCCTTAGGACACGATTCAATCCAATAAAATTCTGGATTCGTCGGTCCAGAGATCTGGATAACCGCAGTTTCTGAGATATTATTAGTTATGCGATTAATATTGGTAGTGGTGGTAGCTGATAAAAAGTAATAAACTGCTGGATAATAATCTTTTTTAATTTAATTTTAGACACTTTATAATTTTTTTTTTTTATTTTTAGATACTTGAATATAGCTAATAACAACAACAGTAATATAATTAGGTTCGCACAGCTAATCATTTTGAGCTTTTCTGGTGCTTAGACATCTACAGCTATAAGAGAGGATGAGAAAAGGATTTTTTTGTTTTGCATCTGTCGCTGTGCCAGTATTTGTGGCGCTTCGAGTGGATGGGACGAATTTTCGTGCGTTAAAGCATTTTTGCACGGAATAAGTAATTCAGATCAGTACCATGCACTGGCGAGATGCATTGAGCTAAGTTGGCGGCGTGGCGATGTGGAGCAAGCCGAGAAGTATCTGAAAAATGCTCTGGATGCGAATCCCCGTGCCACAGTTGATGCCGGCTTCAATTACTGCAAGGGACTACACGAATGGTGTGCCAAACTTTGTCTTACAAATGTCGTGTACGTGGTACATACGCGAAAAAAACTACATGGAAAATAAATGCACGTGATGGCTATGGTACGCGTAACGGGCGGTAACTTGGAAAGCTAGAAACTAGAATATGTGCACTTGGTAGTTAAGGACAATAGAATTCCTTTCATGAGAGGAATTCGCGATTTTCAGCGAAAATCAAAGTCAAAACCCCTTCATGTTTTCATTCTTCGTGAGAGGCTAAAGCACTCAAAGGTACCATGGCGGCTGCGCGTTTCACAGATTAACCACTTGTTGAGTAAAAATCATAGAAAGCCTCTCTTTTCAGCGAATAGTTTGAAAAGTAACCTGAAAGCAACTTAAGTCCCATAATTATACAAAAAGTCTGGCGAAACCAATTCCATGTCATTGTAGAAACGAAGAAAGCTAATTTCGAAAAACTGCTTTTCTTACTGCTGCGTCCAAAATAAACTGATACATATTAATTAAACACATTAACAATTGCATTAGTTCAGTTATTTTACATTAAAAATAATATAAATTGAGATATTTTTTTAGAGGCAGTTTTTTTGCAGGTATTCTGGTGAGCCGAATGCAGCACTGCAAGCGTTTAATCGAGCGCGTCGTGATTTGGAGTGGGGCGAACGAGCAATTTACAATATGATCGAAATATGCCTGAATCCAGACAACGAAATTATTGGCGGTGAAGTGTTCGACTATAATCAAGATTCGAACCCGTTTGTTTTTCTTTATGAATATGTGTTTGCATTTGGCAAAAAAAATGTAAATGGTTTGAAAGTACAAGTGCTAACCTTCAAAGTGTTAACAAAGTAAAAGTGTTAACTTTAAAAGTACAATAAGTTTAAATATTCTATGGTATTAACTCATTATCCCAATGGGTATGTATATTTAACAACTGAGGAAAAGTATATCTTGAATATTGAAACCGCACGGTCGATTCGTACGAGCTATGTCACTGACAGTGTCCAAGTTAGAAGTGTTGTATGACGCTCCGACGCTCCTACACGCTGAATACAGTTGTGCCAAACTCTTCGTTTCTGGACTGCATACCTCTAATTAGTATTCACTGTTTGTGCGGCACATATGCAGTACATCTTCAGCAGCTGCCCATGTGGCTGTTTGTTTCTTCGAAAATGATGTGCCCATATTTAAAATTAAACTAAAAATAGTTTATATCACCAAAATTTATTTAATAGCTCATATTTGAAGGAGAGGGAGTAGACTAAAGAACGTGATTTTATTTGTTGCATTTAGAAAATATGTGCTAAAGACTAGGTTTTTTTAGATAGGAGTTGAAACTTGATATTTCCATCCACTGAGTTGAGTTACGCATCCATCCGTTGAATTTTTAATTTTGGGATTTCGAAAAATGCTGAAAACTCAAAAAGTCTACTTTTCAACGATTTTTTCTTCTATAAAAACAGATACAGAAATACTGCTGATCAGTCTAGCGTAAGCCAGCATTTCATCGGCACTTGATGTACTTTTGTTGAAAGCTTATGTTATTCCAGGAACGATGACAATGACCGAGAGGTAGGCACAAAAACAGCTGAGCGATTTCTGAAGGTGAGTTGAGCTGGTTGAAAAGGCAAAATTAACCAATTATTAAGTTTCTTTATCATTACCATCATTAATTAGTGATGTGCCGAATATCATTAAGTGGTATTCATATCGATACGGCTGTTTTTGGCTTTGCGCTTACATATGAGTAAGGCAACGGGTGTTTACTACCAGTGTTTACTGGTTGATATCAGGAGTATCAAGATCGCTTGGAAGATGTGTGGTGATCACTTCTTAATCATTTTACTATGATTCAGTGAGCACCTATGCCTAATTGGTTTGATAACTGATGAGAACAAAATCCCTCACTAAAAAAACTAACTCATTAATTATATCAGAATTTTAACACACGATTTCCAAGAAAAGAGTACTTTTCCCTCCTTTTTTATGCGTTTTTGCTGTGCAGCGCTATAGCGCTGCTACAGCCAGCAAAAACGCATATT